GAGACTTGACTGACAGAGGTAGTTCAAAAGACCAGTAGATGTCCAATGAATTCTAGTCTGTAGATGTGAGGCTATAGTCCTATTCCCCATGACATGGTCAGACTACAACTTACATGAAGTCGCTTATGGTCAGATATATTTGCTAATGATATTGGATGGTGATGGAATAATATCGCGAACCGACAGAAGTTGGAAAACATGAAATACGGGATTCCATTGCAGTGTTTGAGTGTTAGTGAATTTCCTTCGTAGTCTAAATGCATTGAAACCAATCCTGCCACATAGATAGGTACAAGCTGCCAAAGAGTTGGTACAATGCAATAATGTATATTCACATAAATCAAAAAAACTAAAATAATCAAACGATTTCCAAGTCTTCATTACCAAAAGTTATTGAACAAAGTTATTAGATTAAAAATGTCATCATAGTAGCCATGAATGGGTTTTCTTCACAATGGAGACGGTCGCAGTTCACTCCACTTCTGGAATCCGACGTTTACTGCGGTGTCACTGTTCAACACTACTGAACGCAAGTGGTGAGAAGTTTGAAGCTATAGGTTCCCTATTTTTGCACCACTGAATGTCTCGGACTAAAGTCTATAGGTCATCCAAAATAGGTTATATCTGTCAACCCAATCATCTATTTAATACTTATCTCGCGCGCTGTTTGAAAGGGAGTGCTTTTTTCACGTATTTCACGTTTTTGACAAATCGCTGTTTTGTTGTGTTATTCACTTCAAGAACATTTAAAAAAAACTTTAACTTGACTTTTGTCTGTTAAGTTTTGATTTTAACCACTTATATAGTCTATATTGGGTAAATTGTCTTGGCTGTTTCCAGTAGAATTTCATGATGTCAAAAGTACCACATAAATGTAATAGGGCGGAGTGTTACTTTTTGGTAGATGATGGAATACAGTGTAATAACTGTGAAAAATGGTATCATAAGATGTGTACTGGATTACGTCCAGCTGCATACAAACGCTGTACTGCTCCAACATCCCACTGGATGTGCAGAATGTGTTGCTCTCCAAAGATGACCTTAATAAGGGAGGCTCACGAACTGCTCTCTAAAGCCATGGAACTTCCTGATGATAGCGTGGCTAGTAAGAGTGACACGGACTGCCCGTCTGAAGATGAAGCAGTAAGTGCCATCATGAATGTTATCACACCGGCGGTTACTATCCCAGTTACCCCGGAAGTAAAACCTACTAGGCGTTCGAAGCGTCTTAGTAAGCGAAAAGGTAAAAAAACGGAAGCTGTAAACAGCACCTCAGAACCAGAGAACACCGTAAGCGAAGTTCACCATGAAGGTGGCGCAGACACTGATCTTGATTGTACCATCAAAAACTGCAGCAGCCCTGAGAAGCAACTGCAGGCAGATGATAAATGGGTAACAAAAATAAGCAGTCGAAAGAAATATAGTAATATTGATGGTAGGCAAACGTCTGTCACCTGTAGCCAGGCTGCATCAATAGTGGTGAGAAAGGACGTAGCCACTGCTAAATACGACAAGCTCTCCTTAGACTCTAACATAATTGTTGGAAATTTGGAAGAGTCCAAAGAATCTGATCCCGTGAAAAGGCACGATCACGACCTTAAATTAGTGAGTAGTATTATAAGGAAGATGCTCCCAGCGAATTTCCCTGGAGTATCGATTAAAAAGCTGATTAGAATAGGCAAAAGAGATGATGAATGTTCTAATCAGCGTAGGTTGCTTAAAGTAGTCTTAGGTTCTCCTGATGAACGGAATCATCTACTGGCTAATGTACACAACCTTGCCGGGTCAGGAATTTCAGCCAGACCTGATTTATCTCTTGAAGACAGACTTAAACGAAAAGAAGTTTTGTCCCAGCTAGAAACAAGACGCAAAAATGGTGAGACTAACCTTAAACTGGTGGGTTTTCAAATAGTCAGGTCTTGGAAACGTATGCTTCCAAGACCTGTGTGGATAGGCCAGACCGCATAGGAAGCCTGAAGGTAGTGTACACTAATATACGTAGTATCGGGAACAAATTTCACGAGCTAGGTGTATTAGTAGAAGACCTTAGCCCAGGTATTGTGGCCATTACTGAAACATGGCTGGTTTCGGGATTAGATGACACACCTGAGCTATGCGGATTTAGTTGCTTGCGCAGCGACAGAGTTAAGGGTCGTAGAGGTGGCGGGGTTGCTCTGTACATCAACAACTCCCTACATGTTCGTTCCGTGAAATCTGAAGCTCATGACAGTGGGACAGGTGAGGTAATTAGCTGTGAAGTAAGCTTTGCAACCGGCACTCTACTCATTGGAGTTCTGTATAGAAGTCCCTATTGTCAGTGTGATGACTTCATTTTAGATCACCTCAAACAATGGAGTAAACACAGTAGCTGTCTTATTCTAGGTGATTTTAATGCACCTCATATAGACTGGGTAGCTGTCACATCTCCAGGATCCGCTGATAAGTTTGACAGCCGGTTACTCTTGACAACCATGGAAAATGCCCTGACACAACATGTCTTAGGTAGTACAAGATTCGGTTCTACCCAAGGATCTTCCTTGCTGGACTTAGTGCTTACTCATGACAACGACGACGTGGATGGTCTAGTTATTCATCCACCTCTAGCAAACAGTGATCATGGGGTGTTAGATTTTAACTTAAGGGCTGGCAATTTAGTCAGTTTTCAACCCAAATCCCGGCCTAGTGTTTGGCATGCTGACATAGTGGCTATAAAGGAGCGTGCTTCAACTGCCGACTGGTCAGTCAACATTGTCTCATCCATTGAAGATGAATGGGATAGATTTAAGAATACACTTGAGAGGGTTACCACTGATCTCATCCCCTGGAGGGTTCCTAAAAGGCCAACAAATCGGCCACCATGGATAAATAGACAAGCTATAACACTCCTGAGACGGAGAAAAAGGTTCTGGAATCTCTTTGTTTCTACTGGGCTACAGCAGTTCCGGCTGAAATACTGTGAAACCAGAAACCAGTGTAAAACTTTGATCCACCAGTCAAGGATAGCTTACGAAACCCAGTTAGTTAAAAGTTCACCAGGCTGCCCAAAAAGACTCTTCTCATATATCAAGAGAAGAACACGTAAGAGTGATGCTATCCCACCTCTTATGCTTGAAGATGACCAGACAAACATGGCTGAGGATAACTTGACCAAGGCTGAGGCTTTGTCCAAGCACTTTAGTCAAGTATTCTCTGATAAAATTGATACCAGCTTTGTAAATTTTCCAGAAGGTAACTTGAAAATGGCACCCTTATACATTGGAAAGGATACTGTCCTAAAGTGGCTTCTAAGGCTCAATCCTGGTAAGTCCAGTGGCCCTGATGAACTCCACCCACGTATATTAACAGCATTGGCTGAAAGCATAGCCGAGCCATTGTCGGTAATCTTCAATATGTCTCTGGACCAGTCTAAATGTCCAAGAGACTGGAAAGATGCCATCATTAGTCCGGTCTTCAAAACCGGATCTAGAAACTTAGTTCAGAACTATCGTCCTGTTAGTTTGACCAGTATTGTTGTTAAACTACTAGAAAGAATAATTCGTGATGCTATCATTCAGTTCATTGAAGGGAACAAACTTTTCGCTGTGGAACAGCACGGTTTTAGAGCAGGTCATTCTTGCTTGACCAACCTTCTTTTGGCCAGAGAAAGTTGGGCAAGCTCAGCTGATGCTAATATACCGGTGGATGCCATATTCATAGACCTTAGCAAGGCGTTTGACAGGGTTTCTCATTCAGGTCTTCTAGTAAAGTTAGGTAGTCTGGGAATCAATAAAGTGGTTACCGACTGGATTCAAGACTTTCTAAAGGACAGAAGACAAAGAGTACGAGTTAACGGGGTTTTATCAACATGGGAATCGGTTAAGAGTGGCGTTCCTCAGGGTACAATTCTAGGCCCACTTCTTTTCCTGATTTATGTTAATGAGATTCCATCGGTAGTTAAGTCATCCTGCTTACTGTTTGCTGATGACATCAAGATATGGAGGGCTTTGCACGATGACAGTGATCAACTTGCTTTGCAGGAAGATTTAAACTTGTTAAGTGATTGGTGTAAGCGCTGGGCCTTGGAGATTAACTTAAGCAAGAGTGTAGTTATGCATGTATCCCATAGTCACGTGCACAATTACTCAATGAATGGCATTACTCTCCCAGTGGTCACTGAGTACAAGGACTTGGGAGTGGTTGTGCAGCATGACTTGAAAACAGCAACAAACTGTAGAACTGCAGCCACTAAGGGTTTTAGAATGTTATGGGCCATACGCAAGGCTTTTGCGAACTTTGACGCTGATATATTTCGTATATTATATCCGACTTATATCAGACCTCATTTGGAATATGGGATCCAGGCAGCGAGCCCGTGTTTCAAATACGAAATAGACTTATTAGAAAGGGTGCAAAGAGTAGGAACTAAGCTAATAAAGGGTTTCTCAACCCTGTCATATGAGGAGAGGTTAAGTCGACTGGGTTTATTTCCACTGTCATACAGACGACTTAGGGGTGACCTAATACTAGCATACCGTATCCTAAGAAATGATTTTGGAGCTAATTTATCTAAATTATTTCTTCCTTCTAGCACCAACCAATTGCGAGGACATCACCTCAAGGTTCAAAAACCACGGTCGAATCGTCTGCGTCTGGAAATCCGTTTTTCGCATCGAATTGTGAACCATTGGAACTCCCTACCGGAACATGTCGTATCAGCGCCATCCGTTGATTCATTCAAGGCGAGATTGGACCTCCTGTATGAAATAAATCGAAAGGATTAACACAGGCATATAGCCTACTATCCTAAATAAATTGTAAACTGTAAACTGTAAACTGTATATATCAAACATTTGAGTCGGGAACTTCCATTGTTTGGTGCAAGTTAGTATGCATTTAAACTAAATCGAAAATTCTAGGGAACAATGTGAACATATTGACCCATCACAGTTACTTAAAAAAACTGATGCATAATTTCACTTTACGATATATTGTACATAACACCAATAGGTTATCTTCCAATGACCCTGAAAACATGTGCCACATTTGAATGTCAGAAAACGGCGACAAGATTTTGCTGCAGTTGAAACATAATGGTCAGCCACTACAGGTCGATTCTTTGTCCGGTGATCATAGTGTGTCTGATCTTAAAAATGAAGTGTATAAAATAACCAACATTCTACCGGAAAATCAGAAAATCTTAGGCCTCCGTACAACAAACAGTGTGTCTGTATTCGCTTCTAATATTTTTTAATTTCGTAGATGAACCGGTAACAGACTCAACAAAATTGTCATGTCTTGTAATCAAGGCCAATACGAAATTAATGTTAATTGGATCAACTCAGGAAGCAATCGTAAATTCCTATTTTTCAAACTGAATATGGTATCAGCTTAAGGTTAACAGTGCTAAAGATAGTCCTGAGGTTGTCGATGACTTCGATTTCAAAGAAGAAGACTTAGACTTATGCGATGTGTGAGTTCATCGAATTCGAGGTAAATTTTTAGTCCAGAGAATATTGAAAAAGTTGAGAAACGCTGTAAAGCTTATCGTCCTCGTAAATTAGCAGAATTTAGAGCTGGTAGAAATCTGCTGGTTCTGGACATCGATTATACAATTTTTGGTGAGATTTCGTTTCACGATAATGGTTTACTAGTCTTTATTTAAGCTGTTTCAAGGAGAGACTCGTGGAAACATTCACGGGGCTTCTTGATTTAGCCTGACTGGTTTATTCATGTTTTGGTTTTGTATTTTAGGCTTTCAGTGCCTTACGGTGACTTAATATCTACTTACTAACCAATCCGCCAGGATCATAAGTGTGTCACTATGAGGTAGCTTTATGCATAGTCAGTCTGTTGAATACACAAATGGTCCACATGACAATTTCGAAATTACGTTTTTCACAGTTGTATTCTTTGATATAAGCCGTAGTTCAGCAATATTCAGTTCCCGTTCCATATAAGAATTCTTCGGAGGCTATATGTAGGTGCTGTTTAACTTTCTGCCATAGAAAAGCTCTATGTGTTAACAGGGGTGTTAATCTTTCATATAATGATCAAATACAACCTCACTGGATTGTTATTCTGTATGACATGTCAAACTGCTTACTTCAGAGATACTTTTGAGTTTCAAAGGGAGTAAACTAAATAACCATGTTAGAATTTTTATCTTAGGCCACACATATATGTTTGAAGGTAGTATAGGTCGTCCTCAAATTTCAATTTTCGTTATTGCAATTATAATTCCGTCTGGCTTTTCTGTCGATATCAAAACATGTTATGACTTGTCAAAATATGCTTTATAACTCGAGAAATTCATGTTTATTATCAAAACTACACGCCAAGTGTATTTGGTGCTAATTTTCTCCTCTTTTTGTGCCAATAGATCACCTAACACCAGCTGAATCAGCACATCAATTAGCTCGTCCGTACTTAATGGAGTTTTTAACACGCGCCTATGTACATTATGATATTGCGATATGGTCTGCTACAAGTATGACATGGATCCTAGCAAAATTAAGTCAATTGGGCATCATTCCTATGCATATAGCTAAAACATTTCAACATCGAATAAGTCAAGTTGATAGCTCTAGTTCAACAGTTAGTAGTGTAATGACTTCAGATGAGTGGATCGCAACTGGCAGATTATTTCAAATAGCTTTACTGCTCGATTCATCGGATATGATTAGTGTTAATTTTAGTGAACGTGGTATCAAGGAAGTAAGTAAAAATATTACTTTATGATTTTTGTAAAATTTTTTAAATATCTATTATAAGTAAATGGGGAGTGGTTAAAACTGGTTCGTTTGTCAAGTTCATTTAGTTACTTCCTAACAAAAGTGACATAACTGTTTTATTTATTTTAAGAAGTCGTTTAATAGTTTGATCACCATGCGAAATTGTGCAGCTTATAATCTTTTGTAGTCATATCCTATATAGGCTTATGACTTACTGATCTGAGTTATTGGATTTCAAGTAAATTGGTTCGCGTTAAGTAGCCTGCGTTGAAATTCAGAAAGTACATTTCTACTTTTGCCTCATCAATGGTACTAACCTATGTTCAGTAAGCAACAATGTTCTCACTTTAAACACCAAAATATACTACTCTCGGCTACGTAGAGGTTAGCGAATGCACTCAACTACTAAATCTGGTGTAGAAGGAAGTGCTTATTCTTGATTCAACTTCTACCTACCACATTGGAAATAACATTAAATCCGTGTCTGCTGTAGGGGTCCATATACCAACACAGGCTGCTCATGTCACTCATCTTAACGTCCAATATCTCTCGATCTCAAATCTAGTGACTATGATCCTAAAGTTAGTCAATTAGACACAGATATCCAGTTTCAAAATTTGTATTCGCAAATGTCTGACTTAATTCCATCATCGAACAAAAAACCAACTAGGTTCAAAACTACGCTGGTAGCGTTACTTAATCGGTTGATTTGTTTTTCTTAGCCTTTGTCGACTACTGCTGCCCTAATATTTGTTTGTTTATTCATGCTGTGTTTCGTTATTCTTGTTGTGACAGATTGCCTCACTTCTTTATCCTTGTTACCGATAGAATTATTACTGTCATTATTGACTAATTGCACAATTTATATTCAATCTTATCGTCTTATTAAAAAATTACCGTGATTGGTTTATATTTGAATACGTATTTGTAAGGTCATGCATATTAGAGTTAAGCCTAATGAGATCTAACTGAAATCTATTGCTCTCTTAAATGAATTATTCTAAATACCTGTGGTTTCAGTTATGTCAACGTGATAGGTATGGATGTATTTTTTGGGTGCTACGTAGTAACTAGAGTTATACATCTAGTGTCTATGTTTGGCGAAGACTGAATTTTATCATTCATGTTTGCTTTGGGGCTACTTTGGCAAGTGGGTCATGATCATGGTGCACTTTGAGTTGTTATTAGTATGATTGTGTCTGACGGCCACTAAAGGTTTTGCTTTACCTCCCGTCCGTTCTTCTGTTGGCGTCTTGTGGTATTCGAAAAGGAACTGTTGTATAATTTCTAGTGTGGCCCCTTCTGCATTTAATATAGCTCTTGGAGGTGTCCACAAACCTTTCTGTCTTATCGTTGAACTAAGCGTGATACGTTTGCCTAACACCCTTTTATGGACACATTTTGAGATCGTTTCCTTTTATTCAGGGACTCATTAAACGTTTCTTCGTTTGATAAAGGATACACAAATATACTGTTCAAAGGGATTTCTGACAGTTGTAGTCTTTCAAACCAGTCTAACCCCAGCGAATCCAGGTTTGAATTATTCACATATCGTATTCCGACGAATCGGATCTCACAGAAACCAATACTGCACTTTAACTGCCTGGTCAGACCAGGTTTTCTACCTCATGCGCTGATTGCTATCTGATATGTTTTCTCCATAGTAGGAAATCCCAATTTCTGCCATAACTTGTTAGACATTATTTTCATATCAGATACCATGTCTATTTGCAAACATCTCGACTGTGAGTTGATTGTCTCCTCAATGTGTATATGTGAAGTAGGAGTGGTGATATGGTATAGGTAACTGTAGTACTCATAGCTTTCGGCAATATCAATGGTGTCTGCTTTTGACTTCGGTAGGTAAGAAGACGGACTCTCCTGTGAACGATGCGGTGAGTTTGATGTTGATGACACTGGATGCATCGCATTTACTTCTTTTACATTGTGGCTGCCAGACTGGTATCTTCGCTCAGATTGGTTAATCGCTGCTATTCTTCTCCAATGCATTTGAACGTCATTTCCGAGTCTTGTTCTATTCTGTTCAATAAGCGTGTTCGTATCTCAGCAGACTTGTAAGACCGCAAACGACAAATGAAAGTAGCATCCAACCATCTAATATATATATATATATATATATATATAGTGTTTAAAAGGACTTTTTTAAACATTTTAAACGTGATACACTTTTAAGTAGAAATCTTCATATACATATACGTTTTTTGCTTAACTTGCTAGGTTAAACCATTAGCAGTCATTTGGAAAAATCATCCTCAATGGGGACCACATAATACAATTATGTTCGATGATGTTCGTCGGAATTTTATTATGAATCCTCAGAGTGGATTGAGAGTGAGTTTTTTCGTGTATATCACAATTTAAAAGAAAGTAATAATGTATAAACAGCCATAAAAAAGTACAAAGTTCTTATTGGTTTGTCACTGGGATGAGGGGAAACCAGTATCATGTGCGTAGTCTTTAGTATTGATACTGACTGAATTCTATCACTGGCTACCCCCTCACCCCACCCCAATGGCTAATCAATATAAGCACTGCAGTCCTACAGGAGGTTAATCGTTGACCCTAATAGATCGGTATTAACCTCTGTGGTGGCTACAGTGTTGAGTGATACAGCTTTCAAACTAAGGTGGGTGTATCATTCGCTTCATAGTTGCAAGGTCATCCTGTTGACTATTATCATTATTATAACAAACCAGAGAGAACCAGGCAGACGTTAAACCAGGAGGAGGGTGTATTGATCATGTCTTCAAACTTCAATAGATTCTGGAGCATAGGCGTCCTACAATCATCATATTTCTCAATCTGGAAGCGGAATTCGATTCCTTCGATCGAGAGGTACTATGGCGATGTTTGGCTGAGAAGGGAATACCAAGAAAATACACCTCACTGATCAAGGCACTCTACTCGAACTCGTGAAACTGAGTGAGAGCCTACGTGGATTTGTCATCTAAAGTGTGATATCCGTCAGGGATGCCCACTGTCCCCATAACTTCTGTCTAACTTCGTCATAAGTGTACTAATGGACTTCACCCTAACTGACTTCAACTACTGGGGAAGTGACTTGTTACCAGGGAATAAACTCATTGATTTAGAATATGTAGATGATATACTCCTCCCTCCTAGGTGGAGACGCTGATAAAATACACAGTTTTCTGAACACCTTGAGGAAAATGCGATCTTTGGTGATGGAGGTCTCTAGGTTAGGTAGTGTCTCTCTTTGTGCCTGAAGTTAGTACTGACTAGGAGCGGATGATTATCTGAACAGAACTGTAGAAGACGATCAGCATTGTCGACTCGTCATTAGGGAACTCTGTAGGTACTGCCAATATACTTCTCAGCCTGGCTTGACTTCCCTAGTTCGGCATTGAAGTCATCTGCTAAAACAATTATATCTGAGCGTCTTGTTTTTTGCAACAAACTAGACAGTTTCTGGTAGAAATCATTCTTTAATTCATTTGAACTTCAGTCGGTTGGGGTGTAAGGGGAGACTATGGAAAGCCAACGACGGGCAACACCGTTCTTCCTGCCAATGGACCCGTTCGGACAGGTAGCACACATACGGCTATCTACTGGGATCCAGTCAAGCAGTGATCTTTCTGCCCTAACGCTGGATGCTAGTCGTCGCGAACTAGATGAGAATTCTCCTGACACCCGTAAGGTGAATTTTGCAGATTAACCTTATTGGCCAGGCTGGGTTAAGTGAGTAAGCATACTTGGGTCTTGTATGCGTGTCTCCGAAATATAGCGTACATCCATGACTCGAGATGTTGGAGTTCTGTCTAGTGATGCCTGTTGTCCGATTTGGCAGAGGGTCTTGATGTTAAATGCTCTAACATTAAGTTGTCGAATTCAAGAGACTATTAGGGGTATTTTTCTGACTCTCTTCTCTATTTATGTTCACAGAGTGAAAAGAAAATGACTGGTTAGTCCTCAGTAGAGTATTAGCAGTAGTAGGAGGACAAGATGATGAAGGTGGCGTAGTTAAAGGAGAATGATGATCAGGAGAGCTTCGTGTGCTTTTGGAATTGGGCATTTGTTACTTCCTGGTTTCACACACCATGGAAGTTGATTGATTCTTCGGGTACCTGAAACAGAAAGAGGGCACAACCCAGGGGATAACTGCTTGAGGCCGGTCACACACGGCCTGTATGAACTTTCTCCTTGGATTGGTTCCGTATTAGTAAATTTACCACTGGTTATGTACCACCGTAGGGTAAGTCGGGATGTACATTTTTTCGGGATCAACCTTTTATAACTCCTCTTCATAGTGGAGAGATAGCATAGTTGGCATGCTGGTCGTCTGAGAGAAACACCTTACCGCTATTACATCGCTGTTTCCGAGCAGTACTACTTTGCTACACTGTGCCGGTAACTACTTTTAGTCTAATTGCTATCCTAACTATCTGCTTAGCATGGTAGGACTTGCAGGAACATTAGTTCTAGCCATTGTAGCTTGTTGGGTTATTGCGATATGCATGTCCGACCACCACATCAAAGGTAGCCGCTATCGGTCGGGATTTCATGCATCCCGATAACTTCAGTCTTTAAAACTTCATAACTGCTAGAAGGGATATACTAAACAGCATCTTACATCCCACTTGACTTGATATTCAATAAATGTTAGGATAATCCATATGATTTCCAGTTGTAGGTTCCATGTCTCAGCTATAAATCAGCAAACAAAGAACTGTTTCTCGTTACCTATATTTTGGCCCCATAGGCAACACTAGTTGGGAATATAAAAACTATGATCTTGTATTATTCGTTAAGATTTCGTCGCCAAAATAGTCATTTAACAGGTATGCCTTCATCGTTTATCAATATCCCGGATCTGTAGTCTTTATCTGATCAGCATTTTGGTTGGCGAAAGTCGTTCAATGAGAGAGAGAGAGTGCTTCACTTGATACTGAAAGGATATGCAATAAGGAACTCTGAAAGTGAACTGGTGAAAAACACCCTATTGCCGAACAAATATGTGCATGAAAATGTAGATGGATTAGACATACGTCGTGGAGATGTTCAAATAACATTACACACAGGCCGTTGTGTAAACTACGAATGGGAAGCGACAGGTTGGGTGTCCAAGGGATGACATGGATGAGATCAAGCGAAAAGGAGGAAATGAAGGTTTATTGGTAGTTTTGGAGCCTGTCGGAAGTCTGTCTATCTGTTTTCGACATGAAATTTTGCACCGATGTGCGGCAGTTCAAGTCGCCATACTCCAGTCATCTATCCTGGGAGCTAATTATGGTGCCATTTTTCTCAGAGATTGTTTCACTTATCATTTGCCTTTTACCACGTTTTTCCCTAATAAGCCTAAATAGTTGTTTGGTGTTACCAATCGCCGATGCCTTTTTCATATCTTTCGCTCTTGTCTCCCACCACCGTTCGTGGTCGTTGCGAAGACTTCTTGTTAGTTTTCGTTTGATTAGCTTTCGCTTCTCATCATAATCGGAGCTCGCCGGAATCCATCATCTTGCGTCAATCAGTTCGGATGAGGCGGTAGAGAGCCAATGGCTCCTACTAACTTCTGGCTTTAGCTTATTAACAGCTTTCACAGCTGTGTCTACAGCTAACTGTATGTTGTACCAGGCTACCTCAGACACTCGTTTCGCTATTTCTTCCTTAAATAACGACTCAATGTCTCGATCTAGTTGGGGACGTAACTGTTTCGCTGCCGTCAATTTCTTATGTCCGTTTAGTCGTAAGCAAAAACGTGCGCGAAGCAGAGCGTGATCAGAGTCTATGCACGTGTTCCAGAAGGAGCGACAGTCTTCTACTGACCCTTGCCAACGATACCCCCTATAGTGATAGGGTATCGTTGGCGAGGGTCAGTAGAAGACTGTCGCTCCTTCTGGAATACGTGTGGTTGGAAGTAATGAGAGAGAGAGAGAACTGAGTAGACGAGAGATTTGCCACTGTCTAACCTTATGTACCACTCGGGATTCAAGAAATGAATATTATTACTAAATGATGTACACTCCGCATATAGAGCTTTATGTCATTTTCGTGAGTAGTACTCTTACAAGTGCTGTTGCTGTGTTGCTCTTTTTATACTTTTCGTCTAGATCCGTTCATATCGTGACGCCCACGTGAACTGTTCGCGTGATCGTGAATTACTTCATTTAATTGATTATTTAGAATTGATTGCCCAACAGGAGAATGATTTCACCAAATTAAATCATAATAATTGGGAACATTATGTACATAAATATCGTAAACAATTGAAACTATTAAAAAGTCCACAAAAACACTTGATGAAACATCATGAAGAAAGAAGTAATCCAATAACAACAAGTAGTGATCCATCATCTACTGTACAGTCGACTACTTCTTTAACGTTACCTTCTTCTTATTCAACCTCCTCTCCTTTGTCTTCCTCGTCATCATTATCGACGATTTCTTCACAAAATACGACGACTGGTGAATCTTCCCATGTTCTTGACACTCCTGCTTCTTGTAGAATAATTACTTCTCCTTCTCCTGCTCCTCCTACAACCACTTCCTCTCAATCGGGCCAGAAACGTGCACATGACACCAGTAGTTGTTCAAATGAAGAAGACACCATCAGTCATCACAATGATCATCATCATCATCAGTCAACAGAGAATGACAGTGAACTATGTGATGTTGTCGTGGAAAGTGTGGTCGACTCGTCAAAGTCATTGCATAAAACAAGTTCTTCTTGAAATAATGCCATTCAGTAGAGGACTCAAGTGTATATTGAAAGCGCTAATTAACACACACACCCACACATAGTACTATTGTGACTATTATTGTTATCATTATTATTACTATTATTACTGTGTTACCCTTAATTACTACTTTATCTATGCCATCGATGGTTTTTGAGAAAAAATGAGCATCTATGAGAAAAAAAGCAGAAGAAAGAACCGTATACATGTTGATAATTGAGTCTTATTTTTTGTGTGCTGTTTAATACAGACTGATTGGGTTATAATAATACTACTACTAGCAAAAATAACAGCAATAATACTAGCCTATGTTTTATTTATTAAATTATTGCTTTTTATTTTGGATTTCGGTTCTTTTGTTTTCAAATTTCTAATTGGTGTCTGTCTGTCTGTTTTCGACATAGAACTTGGCACCGATGTGCACCAGTTCAAGTCGCCACACAAAACAAGAGAAGAAAGTAGAAGAGATGCATAATAGGGACAGTAAACAGAGGTGTGAGACAAAGGAATAGTAATAAAGAAGAACAATATAGTTTCATTGGAAATCATAAGTCACAAAGAGTGGATGCATCTGCGCCTGCCAGTCATTGAGAACGATCACTTTGAGCCATTTCACCAATTGTTTCCAGCAGCCATTGGTTTTTACCGTCCCGAGGACCCCAACCAGTCAGGAAGTCTATACCTTCCTACGTGACTGGCTTAAACTAACTGTTGTAGATTTCATTGACTGGTGAAGCCATGTTTTGGTTTGACCGCCACTAGCTCTTTTCCAACTTGATCCTATATCAGCTAACATCGCCCACTGTCGAGGAAGGCGATGACTAGGCATACATAACACATGTTCTAACCATCTCAATCAGTGTAACTTCACAGTCTAGTCGATTGATTTCCCCTCCTTACCTGGCACTCGACGCCTAACCTCAAAATTGCTCACCTTATTTTACCACTTAACACGGGAGATAGAACGCCGGCACCTATGATCGAAGACAGCTAATCTTTTCTACTCTCAATGACCAGGTTTCACGGCCATAAAGGAGGACGGAGCGAACTGCTGAGCAGTACACCCACCCTTTTGTCGATGGCCAACCGGATATCACGTCTACTAAGCCAGAGACGGCGTAAACTGGTATATGCGAAACTAGCCTTCTGAATCCGTGCTGAGATTTCGTCCGGGATCAACCCGTTGGGGCTGATTGTGCTTCCCAAATAAGTGAAGCGGTCAGCGTGCTCTACCACTTCACTTCCTATTTCTAAACTAGGAGTCAGTGTAGTCCAGTCCTGTAACATCATCTCGCATTTGACGGGAGCGAATCGCATGCCAAACATTCGTAGATTGCGGCTCAAGGTGTTCAGAAGACTCTGCTGTATTTTGTCAGCGTCCTCGCCTAGAAGGACTATATCGTCTGCATATTCTAAGTCAATAAGATTATTCCCTGTTAACAAGTCAATCCCTGAGTCTCTGAAGTGAGTTAGGGTTAATTTCATTAGTACATCTATGATGAAATTGAATAGAAATGGGGATAATGGGCTGGCATCCCTGATGGACACCTAGTCTTCACCACTTCAGATTACAACTCGCCGTAAGCCGCTCACCTGGCTGCTTGAGTTCGAGTAGAGTACCTTGGTCAGTGCAATGTATTTTCTCGGCATTGTTTTTATGGCCAAGCATCGCCAGAGAACTTTTCGGTTGACAGAATCGAATTCCGCCTTTAGGTCAAGAAATATAATGATTGTTGGACGCCGGTAAGAGTACCTATGTCCTAGAATCTGTTGGTGTCTGTGTAGAACATTCAGTTAGCAGGGTTGGTTTGGGATCAATTTTTGTCCAGAATCTGGGTGATTTGAGTCAAACTAGGTATACCACCACTGCCAGTCAGTTCGACTCCCAAACGAGAGATACAGCTGTCCGGAGTTTAAGTCACTTCTTTCTGGCTAATAGGGACTATTGTTTGATGTGAATGCTTTTAAACTACTCATAAATAGTTAGTAGTATGTTACCATCACGCCAGTTAATGATTTGGTTAGGGTAAATGCATAGTCACTGACTACTGATAGTCTTATTGTAATAAACACTTCTTTTTTAGGCGTATTGAAACACACTGCCTTTACGGACTGAGAAACTTAGCTAAAATGCAGCTAGGTTGAAGGTGACTGACTGGATCATGATATCGATTCATGAAGTCGTCAAGTTGAATGTGTGGATGGATATTATTCACTTGTGATATTTCAGATGATAGGAATTCAAAATCACTGGAGACGGGATTTCAATTCAGTTGACCGAATGTGAGTAACATTCAGGCTGAATCGGATATTACACGAAAGAAACTTCCTAGTGATATTGTTATGTTAGTGTATGAGGCAGTCGATCATTAGACTTCTACGTTAGCGTGGTGGTGGAGAGGCAATGACCCAACGAGCTACACTGCCTGGAACGAATGTTCCTTCTGGTCGTAACATGCCAAAAAGGTCATTTGGGTAGCAGTTAGATTAGTGTAAGTTACTTACGTTATGTTGGGGGTCTGAGGATGAAATCGGACTGCTGGCGAACTGGAGTGAGGATAAACAACAAGCCTTCTATGCTGCTACCAGAACCGGAGAAGCACTACTGACGGTCTCTTCAAACCGCACTGTCAACTTCACATTGAAGCATCCAATGTCAGGATTCTTTGCTAAATAGGACGACATGCCCCACTTGATAGATCTCTGGCATCTTAGGATGTCGACGTCGATCATTCAGCTGTAACTGAGAGTGTAATATGAAACCAGGCAAACAAGTGGGACCTAATTAAATGACTCCAGAGGTGTTTAAGGTTGGTGGTGATGCAATATTATTTAGGTTAACTAAGGTATTAGGTGATGTGTAGGAATCAGATATAATGCCGTTGAACTGGTGTAAACCACTGATTATCCCGGTTTATAAAAATGGAAACATGTCTTCCTGCGATAATTACTGGGGGAGGGGGAGCTTGACTAATGTATTAACTAGAGTTCTAGGTTTAGTAATCATACGTAGACTGAACGGTGCTTAGGAGAAACGAACCCATGAAAGCCAGGTATGGTTTAGGACTGGACAAGGTTTTATCGATCAAATCTTCAGATTCTAAAACACTGACATAAATTACGGCGTCCGGCACTTGCCATATGTTTTCATTTGAAGATGGTATTTGACTTCGTCGACTGATATTCGCTCTGACAATGTCTGACGGGGGAGGGATTTCCGAGGAAGTATGTCGCACTAATCAAGGCACTCTACTTGAATTCATGAAGCCGTGTTACAGTCTATGGGGAGTTGTCATCTGAAATGATGACAACCAGTTGTGTCCAACATTTTGTTTGATTTCATCATCACTGTATTAATAGATGAACCCTAATCGACTTTAGCGACTTAGAAATTGACTTGTTACCAGGCAACAGTCTTATTGACTTAGAATATGCGAATGATACTGTCCTTTTTGATTGGACACTGGTAACTAGTGTGACGTATCTAGTCCTTTCTATGGTCTAACTATCTGATATTGTCCTTCTTGATGAAGACGCTGGCAAAATACAGTTTTCTGAACACCTTGGGCAGAAGTCTACTAATTGGCATGGGATCCGCTCTTATCTAATCTAAGATGATGGGAGACTGGTCATCACTGACTCCTAGTTTAAGGATAGGGAATGACGAGGTTGAGCATAGTGATCATTTCACCTATTCAAGAAATTGCATTAGCCCTAATGGACTGTTTTCTGACGATACAAAAGGATGGTATAGTCCTTACCAGTTAATGTAATCCGTGGTGTATTTGTGATATCCAGTCGTCGGTGAAGGGACGTCTGTACTGTACTGCTCAGCAATTTGATTTTTTAAATACTTTTTTAAGGCTGCAATAGATAGCCGTTGAAAGGGAAGGATGTGAAGACAGTAGCGTTTACTCTTCCATGTTAGGTGGTATAATATGGTGAGTAATACTGAGATGAAGCGTAGAGTAGGGTAAGTCAATCAAAGAGGTTTTGAAGCTGCATCTACTCAAATGGCTGGGACACGTGTTGTGTTTGTTGAGCCACCCTCCTCCTCTATGAGCAATGTCAGTTGACATTGGAATGGGTTGGGAAAGGGTCAGAAGTGGTCAAACCAAAACTTGACATCAGTCCATGAAGTTTTTAACTGTTAGTCTGAGTCACATAATGAGGTGTAGACTGCCTGGCTGGGTTGGTCCAGACGCTAGAAACTGACGGTGTGAGGTATGGCTCAAAATCGTCCTCAATACCCTAGATGCATTGGCTCCATCTTAATCTCCAGTATCCATTAAATCTTCATGACTATGCAATTATTCTTTCTTCCTTACCTTTCCGTTAACTGTAGTTTCTTTAGGCGTATAAGTGGTAGATAGAGTGTGGCAACTTGAACTGCTGTATTTCTGTGCAAGTATATATGTTGAAAACTCAGTCGATTTAAGTAAGACGTATTAGGCCCTATTAGCCGATTAATTTGGTTTTCTAGGATGATAAGATTGAAGAATAAGAGATACTGTAAGTAACATGTTGAATGTCGAATTAAACGCATTAGGTGGTGTACCACTGATTGGTCCCTAGTGGGAGGGGGGAGACGATAACCAGGTATCATGTATCTAGTCCTCAGTGTTGTTGCTGATTGAATTCTACCTGTCGATTCACACTATGACCACAAATCTAAAAGACTCGCCGTCATGGTCAACCTTTCTGAATTAGTCCTATATAGTTAGAGATGGTTGGCAGGAAACACTAAATCTAGGTTTCTTCCCTATTGGCACTCATCAGTGAAGTGTATCTGTAACTCCCTGAGATTCGAATTTGCATCACTCGGTGCTGCAATCAGAAGATTCACCTCTAAGCTCTTCACGTCGGTTCCTCACCTCCTGTAGGACTGAAAAGACTAGCTGTCTTTGATCATAGATGCCTGCGCTCTATTTCCCGTGTAAAGTGGCATAATAAGGTGAGCAACATTGAGGTTAGGCGTCGAGTTCTAGGTAAACAGGGGAAATCAATCGACGAAGTTGTGAAGTTACAAAGACTGAGATGGTTAGGACATGTGTTACGTATGCCAAGCCATCGCCTCCCTCGACGAGCAATGTTAGCGGATGTAGAGTCAGGTTGGAAAAGAGCTAGTGGCGGTCAAACCAAAACATGGCTTCACCAGTCAATGAAATCTACAACAGTTAGTTTAAGCCAGCCACGTAGGAAGGTGTAGACTTCCTGACTGGTTGGGGTCCTCGGGACGGTAAAAATCTATGGTTGGAAACAATTGGTGACATGGCTCAAAATCGTTCTCAGTGGCGCAGATGCATCCACTCCTTGTGACTTATGATCTCC